GAGATGGCATTGTGAGTTGCATGCACTTGCCCACCTATAGGATCTAAGGGGCGGTGGGGTAGCCTGATAGTAAACGCTTTCACACGTCACGTAGAAGTCTCGGGTTCGAATCCTCACATGGGTCAAATATGCGAAGATCATTTCTGGTATCTCAGCTGAGACAACGCTGCAATATTGCCAAAAGCGCCGTAAAACCATACTCATTTGTTTCGCAAAGTGGCCGTGTACATGTTTCAGTTCGAACCTTAATCAAAACTTGCTCAAACCCATTTGATGTCATTCCAACAGTCAGCTTTCTCCTGACGGTCTTAAACTTGACGAGGGCATTTGAAAAATCCAATACAAATTTGTCGATGTAATACAATTCATCATGGTACCGACATCGTGCATGATATATTTTACTCATTCTCTGCAGCCTGAAGATGTGACACAAACGACTGGAATATAAGAAGCGGAAATTAAAGGAAGTCATCGAGCGGTACCGAAAGGCTTCAAGACCTAAACTAACACGTGACCAAAACACGTCCTAGAGAATACCCCTACTGTAAAGATCACCGCTACCATAAAGGACGAGGACAAACCAGTAAAGCTGAATACTGCCATTGACTGATGCCTAGTTTGGGATTAAGCAGCCCTTGGATTCAACGGTTGATGGCCACCTTTAAAGACTGTATCAAGGTCACACATGTGTAGATTCGACAAATAATATCTACTTACTTAAGGTTTTACAGGTAGTGATACAAACATATTAACATGCTTACCATTATATTTACACGAACAGCGAATGCGTATAACATGATCATCAGTATATACATGCATTGTTGATAATGAATACACATCTATGTAGACATACACATTTGTAATACTATTGTTTTACGTCAGAACGTAATGGGTGTGGCGTGCGGCCACTGAGCTTATAGATTACATTGACAGTGCTCTGCTAGGAGGTCAAAAGGCATCTTTGTCACATCGGTACAACACTGCGCTGTGTTCGGCAAAGTGAGGTTACCGCTATCTTGTCGTAAATAGTAACGCATTGATGATGATGATGATGATGATGATGATGAGTTGGAGATTTTACGTGCATGATGCGCATTTCGCACGTAGGTAGCGCCTTGAACGTAGTCCTCATATATATAATCGCCTGTCTAAAATAAAAATGCCATCAGTGCATCCCTTCCCTTCTCAAACACACGCCTTGAATTCTCTCCACCCATCCCCCCACCCCCTTCCCACCCCTAAATAAAGGCTCGTCTAAATTAAACACCTGCTTTAAGTGCCTGGTTCAAATAGACACCTGCTTTGAATGCACTACTCCTGGTTCAAATAAACACCTGCCTTGAATGCGCTCCTGGTTTAAAGACACTTGCCTTGAATGCTCTCCTGGTTCAAATAAACACCTGCCTTGAATGCTCTCCTGGTTTAAATAAACACCTGCCTTGAATGCACTCCTGGTTTAAATAGACACCCGCCTTGAATGCTCTCCTGGTTCAAATAAACACCTGCCTTGAATGCACTCTTAATGCACGCCTGGTTCAAATAAGGCCTGCCTTGAATGCACACCTGCCTTGAATAACTCCTAACTTAACTGCTAACTGAAATTCACACCTGCCTTCAAAATACACCCGTCTTCAATAGACGCTTCTATCGATCGCTTAAGAACTACAAATATAACCTACACCACCAGAAACAGGACATATTATCAACACGGAGAATACACTTGTGACATAAACTGTCAGTTTATATCAGTTGATAAATGTTGTTAGTCCCGTATATTGCTTCTGGAGTCGAGTGCTTGCCTTAACACTGATGAGATCCTGAACAAAATACAGTTCAAATCCAGAGGCATTCTACAGGCAAACGAAAGTATACATTTTAAAATTCGATTCGACCCAAACTTTACAAAGGTTAGCAGAATGAAAACAGTGGAATAGAAACTCCGAAACACAATCATAGCTATTCCAAATACATCATCACCGAATAAATATTTTTCCTTGCTGAGCCCCCAACCATGGGTGTACAGATTGGTTGCCCCTTAATGGCATAAGGGATAATCCGTAGAGCATTATAATGTAACGATGGCTTAAACTTGAGAGAAGCCGTTGCGTTCACAAGGGCCAATCACAATACAAGCAGCATTATCCCCTGGGCATGGATTGAAATATGTAATAGGACGTACAGCTGCGCAGCCTTAAGCTTGGCATTCGATCATTGATATGGCCTGGAATGTTTTTTGTTGTTCAATTCTTCCAGAAAATATTCAAGTTTTACAATAAATAAGTTTGCTTCTGCCTTCAGCCCAAAGGTAGCTGGCTTGATTTCCTGAAAATGTGTTTGTAAAAGAATGTATTAAATACATGTTCTTGGTATTCTTTTATGGATGACTTCTTTACTCGTTACAAAGAGTTTTGAGTTGTCACCCCAGAAATATGCCATGTATTCAGGCTCTTTAACTTCTTCACAAAGCCTGTCAACTTCACCTTTCCCCAAAATTTACTATAGAGCAATGTCATAAAGTAGAGATATTCTGTCAATATTTCCACACCCATTTACACCCGATCCAGACGTTGGAATAATAAGTTCTCTTTACACCATTGAGGGGGTCCAGTTTGCCTGTTTATGAAGCCACATGCTCACGTACCAATTTACGGGCAGGAATTTCAGGATTGTTAAGACTGAATGACCCGTAGTACGTACATTCATTAATTATAATTTTATATTTACTTTTTAATTGTTTTCTACTGCATTGTTTTATCTTCAACGGCATATGTTGTAGAAATATTGAGTTGGCCAAAAATGAAAACATTCGTGACAAATTTATTGACCTGAAATTCCCGTCTTCGTTAATGACATACCAGACACGTTTACACAGCCACCGCCTTGCTATTAATGCGGTCCCCCAAGCCCGTCAGATATTTATTAAGCGGTAACACATTATTACCCCGGTTAACCCAAGCTCCCTTTTGAGGCGCTAGAAGGTTAACAGTCAAATGACTTATACCGCCGGGTACCCAATCACTGCTGGTATCCCAATGCTGGATGAACAGAAGCAATTTTTGAACTCACTCACTCACTCAATTGTTTCCAGGCCGCCATATAGCTGGAATATTGCTAAATGCGGCGATAAACAAAGAAACAAACAATTTATGAGCTTGACTAATGTTTTTTGTTTTTTGTTACTGATCAGCCCTATGTAAACTGAAATGATTTATGATTGTGTTTCCATAGTGACGACCCTGATCAACAACAAAAAGTTAAAACAACATAACATCTGCATCCATCCCGACCCAAAGCCTTGACATCGACTTTTATAAAGTATAATCTGTAAATATTACGAATACATTTATCTTATCAAAAACGATCAAGTTCGGGTGAGGATGTGGAATAGAGATAGCGAGACATGCCCTTTTATAAAATCTTGATCTTAGACAGGTTTGGTTTCTTAAAAAGATATACACTTCATAACTGTGGTGCAGGGATGGTTAACGCTGTGTTGATACAAATACTGTGTTTAGTTTCATTAAATAGATAGTTACAGCAAACTGGGTCAATAACGACCTCGCTTAAAACGAACTGACGGATATAACGAACTTTTTTCTTTTTTGGTTTGTTTCGTTTTCGTCCCGACCGCTTGCAGTCTATTTTAGTCGATATGCCTATAACGAACACCGGTTATAACGAACGACAATTACTGGCCCCTTCGAGTTCATTTTAACCGTAGTTATGATTGCGTATTGTTACAACACGATGTCAAGCAACACACCCAGACAATCAAACAGAATACGAGCAAACGCAGCCATCGAATCGTCAAAACAAAACTATGCAAAAATAAAAGTCCAAACATGGACCAGGTATGGCTTATTGTCGCAATTGTTGCTCTGTCATAAGACCAGTCAAACGATCTTAGCGCTGCAGTATTCGCATGCTTCTGTTAAAGAGTGGAGGTAAGGTCGTCTTGACGCTAAGATCGCTATAGCGACGTGGCCTTGTTTTCGAGCATTCTGACATAGGCGTTGTGACTTTCTGTTCTTTATACATGGATGTTTACATCTGTCGACATATGCTCATTTACCTGACCTACACACGACTTATATATGTTAATCTACGCAGTTTACATACCTACAAATGTTTACAATAATTATTTCACATGACTACAACTCATACACTGCAAATTGGTCTTGAATGTAAACACTGTTTCCGTTAAAACTGCTAATACTTATCATTTCCATTGTACAACATATACTGAGGGAAACAAATAAGGGAACACCACTTCGTCGCAGTGTTCATATATTTATTTTAAGATTTTCAACGACGGTGCAAAACAAATCATGCAAAGAAATCCGCATAAGAAAAGCGGTGCACTGTCCCTCCATGTGTTCCGTTACTTGTTTCCCTGAGTATACTCCGAAAAACGTAAACAGTCTGCTGACGAACACATTAGTATCACCCGAGGAAAAATACTTAAAATACTTAAAGTTATTTTTCAGGGTCTCGATCCACAAAACGTTCGTAGCGCTACGACATTTGCAAGCCTGTGATAAACTATAGAGTTACGATAGATCGTAATGTTACGAAGGCTTTGTGATTCGGGTCCCAAATTTGTTCGAATGACACAATAACGGATACTTCGAGTTATCGTTTTAACTACATTTCATGTCATTATTAAACCAGTGATTCTTTTACTCTCTGGAATAGTTATCTCCGGATTATACGAGGTTCGACATAACAAGTCATCGGCTGTCTGTACTTAAATCTTAACACCAAGTACTTAATATTGTTCAAACTTCCAAACTTCGGATATAACGAAGTTTCTTGCGAAGTTAATTATATCTTGAATGGATAAAGCATAATATCTAAATCAAAATATTGACAGCTGATTACAGTGAAACCTCGCTTGACTCAGACCAGAAGACTTCGAATATTTCGAGTTATCAGTAGTACCTGTAACTATAAATCTCTAACATCTTAATTGAGTTAAATATTAATGTGTTCGAGTTAACGAAATGTCACTGTAAATGGCTGTATATTGTATTTCTATTGAAACTGTTGACGATGTCATTTCTTCCAGACACGACGTTATATGACGTCACGGATGGTGTGGTACCATTGACAGCACAGGACACCGGGTGTCAGTCCTGTAGATGAAGCCCGCGGGGACTGATGAAGGTGTAACTTGAGTACTCTCTGCATTACAAACCGGCCAGGGATGTCAAACACAAAACCACCATGACTGTAAGGCGTGCTGTTGGTGTTGAACTCGATCCTCGATTTGGGTCGCTATCTACTGGAACATTAAGACATTATATTAAGCCATGTGATGGGATCATTGGAATATTCTTTGAAACTGAAATAACGGTAGCATTTTTAAATCAGGTGCGTGATGATTTTACTACATTTAGTTTTGTAGTTTGAAACTCTGCGTCACCTCGGTATATGCTCAAATATATTGAACATGTTGTGTTTGTGAGACAGTACAAAACGACTAACACTGGGTCATTGAATGTAGGGGCGGTGGGGTAGCCTAATGGTTAAAGCGTTGGATCGTCACGCCGAAGACCCGGGTTCGAATCCCCACATGGGTACAATGTGTGAAGCCCATTTCTGGTGTCCCCAACCCTGATGTTGCTGGAATATTGCTAAAAGCGGCGTAAAACCAAACTCAGTCAGTCAGTCATTGAATGTATGTCATTTTCATAGCAAAAACGTTTCATAACATAAATTCCATTTACATTTAAAGGTGCCTGAGAGAAATGGAACATACAGACAAATGTTTGTTTGTTTGTGAATAATCTAGTCGAGACCAAACAATCCGGTGACTGACATCATGAGCATCGATCTATCCAATTGGGTTACGGTGACATACATCATCCAAATCAGCGAGCCCTACCACCCGATTCCGTCAGTCGCCTCTTACGACAAGCGTGGATCGCTTAAGATCAAAATATAAACTATATTAACTATGAAAATAATATGTGGCAGAATAAATGCCGTGCTCTTGTTACCATTGGTAGCTTTTTTATCATATCTTTTGCATGAAATATGTTGGGCTGAAGTACAACTTGAACAGCATTTAGAAAAGGGGGCCCTGAAGGACAACTTGAACAGCATTTAGAAAAGGACATACTGAATAATTCATAATTGCTCGTTTTGAATTTAGAAAGGAAAAAAAACAACCAAAGGAGTACATATACACAATAAGTATGTTGGACGCCCACAAGAGTTATCAGTATTCAAACACAACCAGGGGAGACAACTCACTCTTCCACAAATGATGCAATAAGGGTTTGTCGGTAGAGGTACTAACCTACTGCCTCCATGGCACAAGATCCGGTCTTCATGCAATCGTGTCTTTCCGTAGCAGGTTTAATTTCTATAGCTGAAACAACAAGTTCAAATTAGAATAACAGCTTCTTCCTTAATGGGTGCAGCTCTGAATGGTGAGTGAAATGGGGGATGTTCTTTACATGGAACATACTACACACAAGGGCGGGGACAGGTAATGAGTTGGACCCGGGTACCCGTCTCAATACCCAGACCCGTTATGATCATGTGACTAATAGATTAAACAATGTCATATGTTACTCTTTCATGAATAAAAGGTCTTTGTCTTTGAAGATTTATACATAATTTACAGTCACTTCTTTTGAATATAATACATGGTTAAGATCTTGAAAAACTCGAAATTTTAGCCTTTCGAGCTGAAGAATATATTGCCATTTCTTGCAAATTTGATGTCGGGAATTGACAAAACGGGTATCCGGGTAGGGTAGGGTAATAGGGTGGGGTACCCGGGTAGAAAATTAACCCTACTATAATACAATGATTCACCTCGCCATACATAATTTGGTTAAAAATCTGATTTGAGGGACCAACTACTGCATGGGCATGGCAGAGCAGAGCAGAGCAGAGCAGAGCAGGGCAGGGCAGAGCAGGGCAGGGCAGGGCAGGGGGCAGGGCAGGGCAGGGCAGGGCACGGCAGGGCAGGGCAGCGCAGCGCAGAGCAGGGCAGTGTTTGATTTTGGGGGGTTAATAAATAGATAATATGTTGAGAATAATACACACACTCTCAATCAATACCATGTGGTTCCGTCCTTGATTAAAGTCTGTGAATGGTATCCAGTAGTGATACAAATAACAGGGAAACTTATGGATGAATATACTCCGACACGTCATATTTCTGTCGTTGGTATCCATACATATCCCCCTTTTATCTTTACTTGTTTGTTTGTTGCTTAACGCCGCATCAGCAATATTCCAGCTAAATGGCGGCAGTCTGTAAATAATCGTGTCAGGACCAGACAATTAAGTGATCAGCACCCTAAGTAACGATCTATGCAATTAGGATAAAATGACATGTGTCAACCAAGTCAGCGAGTCTGACCGCCCGATCCCATTAGTCGTCTCTTACGATAAGCATGGGTTGCTGAAGACCAATTATAACCCGGATCTTCACGGGTACTTTGTCCTTAAGTAGATCGGAACTTATTAACTCTCCATTTATTAAGGAGCGGGCTTTCTTATGAAATACTCCATCCGAATGCGTCTTTGTAATATTGACAGCTTCAGTGGCCCAGTAGACAGTGTTTGCTCTCAACACCACACAAAAAGAACTACCTTTTAAAGTGTTTTGGCCCAGACCACGGAGGTGGTCGGATCATTTGGGTATCAGTTGAAGATATAGAGTGAGTGAGGTTAAAATCAAACACGCTGGCAGTATTCCAACCCAGTTTTAAAAACTGAAGCAGGGAGTGAGTTTAGTTTTACCCATGCGGGGAATCGTTCCCGCGTCTCCATCGAAGGAAAACATAGAATGTTACTTTTAAATTAAGTTGTATGACCGAGTAATATATTTTTAAAGAAATCAAATTATCTCAGTACTTAAGATATAGCGTAAAGTGGAACGCCGCACTCATTGTTATTGCACCTGCAAGACGACGGTCTGCTAATATTATAATCTGGACCATACAATACCGTGATGGTCTGCGACGGTCAGCTAATATTAGAATCTGGACCATACAATACCGTGATGGCCTGCGACGGTCAGCTAATATTAGAATCTGGACCATACAATACCGTGATTGATATTAAGCGCTATGACGATCAACTTCGCTTGATACCTGGACACATTCAGCTCCCTAGGCTGGAATACTGTTTGAAGGTGAGTTATACCCAACTCAATTGGGCCCTTAAGGAGGTCATGACACTTCGCGAGACCTTAGTACTTCCGGAGACGAACAACGTGCTTTTCGAATGGTCTTATGGTTGTCAGTCGGAACCGATATTCCTTACAGGAATACCAAATTTCCGATCTAACCATCCCCAGCAACAGCTGTGATAGCTAAACATGGTTGTACACTTGGTCTGGTCTTGTAAAGTCATACTTGGCGTTCGCGCAATTTTGAACCAGTACTGGTTCTTGAATATACGCTTATCGCCGGGAATCTGATAGCGGAAGTAAGCTGGGCCCCCGTCTCGCATATCGCAAGTTGGCGCGCGCAAAGGGAGCCGGGAACCAGCTTAGTACCGGAAGTAGCGCCTCGAGAGACTACAGAGCCTATTATAATAAGTTCTCTTATATTGTGCTAACCTCCATATACAAAGTGTATGCTTAAAGCTGCATGTAAGGCGATAGAAGGTTAAGAGTCACCCCATCCCACCGGGTACCCATTTACTGCTGGGTGAGATAGTATTAAACAACTAATTTGATTAAGTTGACACCCCATGTGTTACATATCGTTCGTTGCGGGGCAAAACTGAATCTCCCGACTCTCTAGAGTCAAGCTGCCAAACACGGTTACCCATCCAAGGACTCTCCGCCAATAACCATGCTTAACTTCAACTGATTTGTGACCTGTGCTCTTTACACAAGAGACCACAACACCACTGAACAGACACATGATAAATAAGGCGCCATGCAATTAAATAGTAACATAAAATAAATAAAGATGAGAAAAGAGGAAAATTCAAATATAAGGAAAAAATGAAACATTGAATCATTTAGCTCACCTGGTAAATGTACGCTAACGTCATCGAACATATTATTCCTGTTATATTCTCCTTCGAAAGCACATCTGTATATTACACCTGTTGCGTTCGAATTCGCAAATATTTCCAGTGGCTGGGTAGCGTAGATATCACACTCATTGTTTTTAAGTTCTCTCACTGGCCGATTGTTCGGAATGACCTTGAACCGGTCATGACCTTTCGGCCTGTACAGCCAAGTGAGCTTTTTGGGTGGAAATCCGACCTTGGCCTTGCAATCGACAATTAAGGACGAGTTAACCTCAATGACCAAGTAGTTATAATGGATGGATGGTCGCGTGGCGTCAACTGAAAATAAACAGAACAGAATGGAATAAAAGAAGGAAGGAAGATAAGAAAGCAACAACAAAATATAACATCAGCATGCTATTTAAAAGGCTCTGCGTTTAGAGAAGTCGAATTCGTCCTGTTTTAAACGCCAGGGGAAGACACATTGTAGCGAGGCATTTAGTAAACATCAAACATTGCATCAATGTTGGGAGTCGAACTCGGACTTCTGGGTGGCTGGCAAAGGCACAGACCAGGCCCCTATCACTGAAAGATGGATGTTTGGATGCAACAGCGTTAGATGACGCGCTGCAACGGCATGACCAGAGACGTGGGTGTTAGGAAAGATACGGGATTTAAACTGGAACAAATGTCTGTTACAACTTGTTTTATCATTATCATGCTTCATACAATGTAATATGTCACAGCATACCGAAATTCTGGAACAGAATGATTTCCACAGAATACTAAACACAACATACAGTGCTGAGATTCATTACAGTACATGAGAACATACTCTTATTTAAAGTACCCCTTAACGTCAAATTACCTTTAACAGACATTGATGGATCCTTTTTACTTCAAATTACCGTAACAGACATTAAAGGATCCCTTCATTTCCAAGCACCTTTTTAACCCTCAATAATGGATACTCTTAGTTGAAATTGGGACGGTAGCCTAGTGGTTATAACGTTCGCTCGTAACGCCGAAGACCCGGGTTCGATTCCCCACATGGGTAAAATGTGTGAAGCCCATTTCTGGTGTCCCCCGTCGTGATATTGCTGGAATATTGCTAAAAGCGGCGTAAAACCAAACTCACTTACTCAGTTAGTTCAAATTACCTTTAAAAGACACATTAAATGACCCCTTTACTTCAAATTACCTTTAACGGACATTAAAAGGTCCCTGGGCTTCAAATTACCTTTAACAGAACTATAAGGGTCCCTTCATTTCAAATTACCATTAACAGACATAAAAGGGTTCCTTCACTTCCAATTACCTTTAACGGACATTAAAAGATCCCTGGGCTTCAAATTACCTTTAATAGAACTATAAGGGTTCCTTCACTTCAAAATACCTTTAACAGACATAAAAGGGTTCCTTCACTTCAAATTACCTTTAACGGACATTAAAAGATCCCTGGGCTTCAAATTACCTTTAACGGACATAAAAGGGTTCCTTCACTTCAAATTACCTTTTAAAGTGACATGAATGGGTCACTTTACTTCAAATTACCTTCAGCAGACAATTAAATGATCCCTCATTTTCTAATTGCCTTTTAACAGACATTAGAGGATCCATTCACTTCAATTTACCTTAATACATACAATGGTCCATTCCAAATTACCTTTAACAGACATAAAAAGACTGTTTTATTTCAAATTACCTCAAACAGACATTAAAGGACCCCTTCATTCCAGATTACCTTAAACGGACTTTAAAAGGGCTCTGGGCTTCACATTACCTTTAACAGACATAAAACGGTCTCTCCTTTTCTAATTGCCTCTTATCAGACAATAGAGGATCCCTTCACTTCAATTTATCTTAAACATACATACAATGGTCCCTTCACTTCAAGTTACCTTTAACGGACATAAAACGTCCCTGGGCTTAAAAAAACTTTAAAACAGACATAAAAGGGTCCCTTCACTTCAAATTACCTTTAACAGACAGATGCAGCACCTTTTGCACTGTAGACGTCCCCACATATTTACAGACATACATCCCCCGATCCGAACACTGCAGGTCTCTCAACACAAGAGTAAACTCCGTCAGTTCTGTCTCAATAGTGATTTTCTGCCTGATCCGGGATTTAAAGGAATAATCCACGCCAGTTGCCCATTCCGGTGTCTTGGAATCCGCTGGTAAGCGCACGATCGTAACTTCGGATCCGTCAGGCTCTCTTCGGATCCAAGAAATGACATACCACCTGTGATAGCCTTCAAGCCTACACTGGAGAGTGGTGCTTTGACCTACGTAGCCTTCGGCAGCACTCGGCACCTCAAATTCACCTGTAAAAAAGTAATTGATCGTTGAAATACAGCACGTTGAAGGAAATGTTTTACTAGGGAGTTGACTTGGAACTAATGTTTTACTGCTTATACTGTTTTATTCCTTTCTACTGCTTCTTCTATTTTTATTTTGTTTGTTTTGTTTTGTTTGTTTTTGTGTGTTTTTGTGGAGGGGGGGGGGCAGTTGTTTGTTTGTTTCTGTTTTGTTCTAGGACTTTTGGGGGGTGTTTTTGTTTGTTTGTTGTTTTTTGTTGGGGTTTGTTTTGTGTTTTTGTTTTGTTTTTTGTTGTTGTTTTTTGGGGGGTGGGGTGGGGTGGAGAAGGTGTGTGTGTGTGGCATCTTATGTATTTTTTACTTTTTGTACATTTTAATTGGATAGAACTGCCCTTGAAATGGTGATGTGTGGTCACGAAGTGCAATCAAACACCACTATTTCGAAGGTGTAGGTACATCGAGTTAAAGGAGGTTCGAAACAACCGCACACGGTGGGCTAGCCCAGTGGTTAAAGTATTCACTGGTCACGATTCCCCACATGGTTACAATGTTTGCAGCCCATTTCTGGTGTACCCACCATGATATTGCTGGAATATTGCTAAAAGCTGCGTAAAACCATACTCACTCACTCACTCATTTATTCGTTACGCCTAACCGTTCGCTTCCGACCATCATACGTCTTTACACCCATTCAATTTAATTAAAACGCCATTGCATTGAAAACGCATTGACTACGCATTGACTCCAAACGTTTCAAATTAACTTCAGAATGCCATTCACAAATATTGATGAAGCGGACACTTTTCTTTCCACTTTTAAGCCTATTACAACCACTCTGACAAACCTTGCGTGATCGCTGACACGGAACATTTATCTGACCTAATGACAGTTTAATGTACCGTTAATAGTACCGTTAGTCACATGTTGATACATGTTGGTCTTAAGTGGTGCGTTTGTGCTTGTAACATCAAATTAACACATAGTCACTTTGCACAATTAAAAGGAAAGAACAATTACTTCAACAAAGATACACATATTGAGATCCTTTTGAAGGTATAGTACGTTCAGTTCAGCAAACCATTAAGAAACACTCCCCTTAAGTGTTTCGTCTTGATTGTATCGTGTATAATTTAAACCAAGTCAACCATTCCTCGCATGCGATTTCACTGTATCAAACTGGAAAAACATGCAACGCGTGTTTATAGAGGCTGTGTTTTTTTAACGACGTACTTGTCGACCCGCTGAATGAAACACTCCGGCTGAAAACAGTCAACGGGTTCGAGCTTCCGCATTCGACATAAATTTCCCCGTTCCCTTTTAACCCTACTCGGCGTTAAACCATGACGTCATACTATTGTTCTTTATTGGACCTTACGGTTTCAGGGTTGGATTACTGTTTTATGTTGTTTTTTGTTCAAAAGAGTATTAGAGTGTAAACCTTCTTTTTCCCGGCAGAAAAGTGCGGCCTGCAAAATAGTTACATCTGAACAAGATCCATACCGATTCCCTTTATTAGTTACAAAACAAAAATGCACCCAGACTGGGGGCAAATTGTTGCAGAGTATGAAAAAAAACTGTGAATGTTGCCTTACGCCGCAGCGTATCTTTTCATTCATTCATTTCACGGTGGCCGGTAAAGAATTACCCGTGAAGGTCCGGGTTAGAATGAACCTTCAGTAAACCATGCTTGTCGTAAGAGGCGACTAACGGGATCGGGTGGTCAGGCTTGCTGACTTGGTTGACACATGTCATCGGTTCCCAACTGCGCAGGTCGATGCTCATGCTGTTGATCACCAGATTGTCTGGTCCAGACTCGATTATTTACAGACCGCCGCCATAGAGCTGGAATATTGCTGAGTGCGGCGTAAAACTAAACTCACTTACTCACTCACACGGTAAAGAATTAACCCTGGACAAAACATGGAACGTCAATGCTACGTAATTATCCAGTCTTGACTAGCCTGAGAAACAAATTGAGTTTGGTGTCCATGTAAAGACAGAACAATTTGTAAAACGTCCGCACTTGGAACTATTTCCGCGTCTTAACGACGACTGTGTATTACAGACAACCTAGTGATTGATATCATGAGCGATACACAGGTTAACTATGACACGCAATCAATGTGTTTGTTTGTGTGTTGTTTTACGCCGCACTCAGCAATATCCCAGCTATATGGCGGCGGTCTGTAAATAATCGAGTCTGGACCAGACAATCTGGTGATCAACAGCATGAACATCGATCTACGCAATTGGGATACGATGACATGTGTCAACCAAGTCAGCGAGCCTGACCACCGATCCCGTTAGTCGCCTCTTACAACAAGCATGGGTTACTGAAGACCAATTCTAACCCGGATCTTCACGGGTATCAATCCGAGTCTGACGATTCATGTGTTCGCCTTGTACCTTCAGCTGACGTTGTCAAAATTGGACACCCACGAGGACGTAAGAATCTACGACATCGAGCTGTCATCCAATAGCAACTAACAGACTCTACAGCTCATCACCGAGATCAGAGGGCGGTGGGGTAGCCTAGTGGTTAAAGTGTTCACTCGTCACTCTAAAAACCAGGTTCGATTCCCCACATGGGTACAATGTGTGAAGCCTGTCTCTGGTGTCTCCGTCATGATATTGCTGGAATATTGCTAAAAGCGACGTAAACTAAAGCCACGCACTCGCTCACAGATCAGAGCTTGACAAAATCGCAAAGCAGGTTACAAGCACACGAGTTCCACCTGGGCGTAACGGTACAAGACAAGAGTTCCACTTGGGCGTAACGGTACAAGACAAGAGTTTAAATTAAATTCTGGATACTCCAAGATGTTCGGAGGCGTTGAAACGTTTTTTAACCCAACTAAAGGTGTTCTACTGTCGGAACGTCAATACGAGACACAGACTGAGCTACGGCAGGGCTTTCCTCGGAGATAATCGTGTATCCAGGCGTGTGTGCGTGTGTCGTACGGAGACGTTGTGTCGGGGACGACCCGATAACTCACGCCTTGGACGCTTTTAACTGCAGCTGTGGCTGCCACGTGACGTGAACGACGCGTTAACCAGCACAAATCACATCGTTGGGTATCTTACTGTCCATTTAGCGGACGCTGTTTTTGTGTGTATGGCAGTGAGATGTTGGAGGACCTTGTCCTCAGCCTCACATCTAGCAAGCCCGACTGTTGAGACAAACTGGTCGACAGAGTTGGTTCACATATATACGCACACTGACCAAAATTGGGTCTTGACCAGAGGACCTAGTGGTCGATAGCTCGATCATGTTTTTTCACATTAATGACAAATAATAACAGTCGACTCTGGATAAGATAAACCAGTGGTGGTCGGAGTGCAAAAAGTGTTCCACTAATCTAAAGGTATTGAAACCGAATCTGTATAAAACATATCTGCGCTCGATAATGTGAACATGTTTCCAAATGTACATACACAAAAATATAGAAAAATGTGGCGTTTTTCAAACATATAGAAATATTCCATAGTTTGACTCCGGAGCATGGAAACCAGAGATCGATAGTGTGATCAGTTTCACACAACTAACAATTTGTTTTTGTTTTATTGTTGGTTAATGCCTCACTCAGCAGTGTAAAGCTATATAACGACTGTCTGTAAATAATCGAGTCTGGACTGTCAATCCAGTGATCATCATCATGAACATCGATCTGCGCAATTGGGATACGATGACATTTGACAACCAAGTCAGCAAGCCTGACCGCCCGATTCCGTTAGTATTTCACATGTGATATACTGTTCCAAAGCGACGACCGCCGCCGTGGTGTAGTGGTTAGAGCGTCCGCCCGGAGAGCGGAAGGTCGCGGGTTCGATCCCCGACCGCGTCATACCAAAAGACGTTAAAATATGGTACTTGTTGGTCCCTGCCTGGCACTCGGCATATATGGGTACTACAAGGACTGGTCGGCTCGGAGTCAGTATAATGTGTCTGAGTGGGGTATTCATGCTTCACTGCGGCATGGTATCTCAGTGGGCTAGCACTATAAAACCAGCTTAAGTCTGGGCTAGTACAAGCAGCCGCACATACACATACACACGCATGCACGACGTTATATGAGCGAAATATTCTCAAGCACGACGTTAAACCCAATTTCACCTCAACCCACCTGTTCCAAAGCGGTGTAAAACAACGTTCAGTTACTCCTGACGTTTACAATGGGCCCACCTTATACAAGAAGTGTGGAAATTTAATGGAGACACCAAGGATGAACCTGTCATTAACAACATGCTTCATTTATTAAGGATAACGCGGTATTTGACATTTGAATGTTAAGCTTTTGCCAAAGAAATATTTGATTCAGATAAATCACGTTCCTATAATACATTAAATATGATATAAATTCTGTCAACTTGGATTCCGATTTTTCATATTCTCCGAACAGTGAAGCAAGGTAAAGAAATATCGCTTTGCGGGTGAAACGTAGCGGAAATGATTTTAGTGTCACGGCAAAGTATGACACGCGATGGGGGTCGAGGCTTCAGCCAAGGGCAGATAACTCTCTCTCGAACAGGCACTCCAAACTGACGTATCGTTGACAGACGTGAGTCGCTGTTATCGATCTGATAACCGGTATTATGTGTAGATAAAAGGCATTCATTCCAAACACAGAAGGATTAATTTCCTAGGAACGTGAGTCCAGTGATGTCGAGATAGATCCGTCAACCACGAGCATCAGCCTGCTCACAAAGCACGAGCGACTGAGCGAGGGGATTAACTGGGCTTTTCTTCCGCGCACGCACCCGACATTAGCGCACCGATCGCTTTCAGTAGACCTGTTAGCATTGACGGGTAATTAACAACGTTGATTAAACACAGGGAAATTGGTTGGTACTTTGTTTGAGCCTTATTTGATCGTTTTTGTTAGAGCTTAAGTGCTTTATAGCGCTGTTGTTTTAGGTTAGAATGGGGTCCTTGTTTGCTCCTATATTCATCCATTTTGGTAGCTTTAGACGAATCTCCGTTTGTGAACAAGGACGAAATACACTCT